GGACCGCCGGCCCCGCCAGAGGGAGACAGAACTCCGCGATCCCCCGGCGGCGGCCGCGTCGTGCGGGGGCTGCGGGGACGAGTGACCTGGGCTGCGGGACATCATCCCCGACAGCAGTGCAGGGCTGGCCACCGCCAGCGCGTGCTCCCCTGAGCTGCTTCAGGGACGGAGCCAAGCGCAGGGAGGCCCGGGGGCAGAGCAGGCAGAGCCCCCCTGCTCACCGCGGGCTGCGCTTGGTGCACAGGGGTGAAAACTGCAGGCAGAAGTCAGCCAGGAAAAGCCTGCAAGGGCCAGAAGGGCCCGGCTGCTGCTGCCTGTTGCTTCTGTGGCTGTAGACCCGCTTCGAAGCAGAGCCGCATGTGCGCAGGCAGCCCAGTCAGTGCAGGCCCCATGGACTGGTTACAGCCCCCAACTCCTTTGGTTGTGCTCCCTCGAATTCCCTGGATTTATTGGCATCCTGCCCCTGGCAAGGTGCCCGGAGGAGCCTGCAAAGTTCCAGATGTGATGGTACAGGTACCAAAAAGAGATGTCTCCTCCTCTGTCTCCTCTCCAAAAGCAGTGGGCCAGCACGCCAGCATTGTCACCTGGCAGCGCCCCACGGACCCAGTTCCAGTTCTGTGGGCACCGGCCATGGCTTTGGTTGCTGCTTGGACTCCCCGTGCCCACGGGCGCGTGATCCCGCCCTGAGAGCCAAAGTGAGGGCGCCATGGGGTGCTGTGCCCCCAACACCTCTGCACGCCTCCTGATGGCGGCAACCATCTCTGCCCATCCCAGCCTGTCTTCTCTCTCTGAAGGACCGCAGAGATGCCCAGAAAAGCCCATTTTCTCACCACTTCATTTGAAAGAGCAAGTAGCAGGAAAAACACCAGCCCTGTGTTGGGCCAGTTTTACAAAAACTCCTAATGGGCCTCAGTGTGAGATTGTATTTGCTTTAAAACACGAGCGGGCTGAAATATACTACAGGCAACCGATGTGCCCAGGCACGGGGAAGAAGGATTAGATGAGCTAATGATTCTTCCTTGGCTCTGCTCTTATAAAAAGTGCCAGGGGAGCTTTATCATCGACCCAGAGCAAATGGACCTTTAAAGTGCTATCAGAAATCACACCGTAAATTGCAAGGGACTTAGTTTATCAATTTCCAAAGAACCAAGGTTGAGTTAACCGTGCTGCTGAAACATGCTGATCCCCCACGTTCTGCTCTTTAAAGCAATGATTTTATTTTGTTTGCTTTCACCTCCTGAATGGTCATGGACTATCTTAGATGGGAAAGCAGATTAAATTGTTGCCTTAAAATCTGTATCTAGGAGAGGGTAAGACTAAGGTGTGCAGAATAATGAGTGGAACAGAGAAGGAAAGGCAGGCTCGCCCCTTCTCACCCCTTCCGGTGAAACATGAAAAAAAGGCAGTCAATAAAATTGCAGGATGGTTGGTGAAAGGCTGTACTTTCATCGATGGGAAATTGGTAAAGGAAATACTTGGTTTAAGCTGCATCCAGTTAGGTTAGGAAATCCATTATTAGCAGATCACATTATTAGCAAAATCCAGGACAGAGTGGGCTCAGAACATTGAGATAGCACCAGGAGAGCCTGAAGCACTCCTGGTCCATCAGGAAGCAGTTAGCAGCTGCCAGGCCTGTGTTTTCCTGGGATGCCTTGGGGTGTGTTAGAGCAGTGTGAAGGGGAGAGCACCAGGGCTTTGGTGGGGCTGGCTCCGTTGGGGGAGGACGGAGGAGAAGCACTTTAATACAGATGCTCTCTTTGTAAATGTTTATGTTTCTCTGGGGCTCGCTTATGCGGACATATGCCAGAAGAAATGCAGAGAAGATATCCAGCCTCACAGTAGTTAAAGTTTTCAAATAAAAATAAAAATAAAAATAACGGAAGGCGAGCAGTGTTGTAAACTCCCATGCCTTGGGGCCTGGGCCAATCTCTAGCAGATGAGCTTTAGGAGGAAACCGTTCCTTCCTGCGGATCTCCTTGCTGCTGTCCTCCTGCCCGTGCCCCGGGAAGAGCCACCACGCGGGAGCAGCTGGTGTGGCCCAGCACGGCCCCGGTGCCCGCCGCGCTGCCCGCGTGGGACACTTACTCATGCAGTCCCCTCCGTACCAGCCGGCCCTGCACTCGGCGCAGTAGATCCCCTTGATGTAGAAGTCGTCAAGCGTCCCTCCCCAGGAGCCGTTACGGCAGGACTTGCAGTTCTCAAAAATGGTGCAGCCTGAAAGGAGAGCCAGCGTGTTAAAGGAGAGCCGGGGTGGGCTGTCCTGCGGAGAGAGCAGCAGCCTCTGCTTTTCACAATAAATACAGACACCATCTGTGATTCCTGTGGTGCTGACCACTTCTCTTCTGTGCACTGTACCCAACCTCCACCCACTAACCCTAGAAGATCTCATACGCTGAGATCTGGGGCCAATCTCCCATCTCTGACCGATCAGAGGCCTGAACCTTTACATCTTGTTGCTTCCAGTATAAATGTTTCTTTCAGCATTCTGAATGTGGGTGCTGAGCAGCTTGGACCAAGGCCAAGTGACTCCAGTCTCTCCTAACCTGACCCTGTCTCCTTCTGCTTTTACCTTTGCTTTGCCCTTTCCTCCTTGCTACGTAGACTTGCCCATCTCCTCTTCCTTCTTGCCCTGAAATTACAGTTCATCCCTGAGTACCTGCTCTAAAACCATCTTCAGTATCACCCTTTGGCAGCTCCAAAGCTTGCCCAGGAAGTCCTGAGGACACTTCTGGCGGAAGGTCTTGTTTCTAGATGCATGTTGCTAAAATGTCTTGTCCAGTTAGGCAGGGTGCCTTGTCCAGTTGCCAGCAGAGAGGAGACACCAGGCAACCCCTCACCAGGCAGATGTGTGTGCCCTCCTTGCCCCCCTGCCCTGCACCCATACAACCAAAGGACCGGTGGGACACAGGGTCAGCGTACCTGGGTGGATTAAGCAGGAATCACACTCATTCTCCTCATTCCTGCAGCAAGGAATGGTGTAGCCCACTCTCTCCTTCCGTCCTGGACAGACGCACTCGATCTGGTCGTATTCACAGCATTCCCGACACATGATATTCCACTCCGCTCCAGGGCAGTTTTCATTGATCACCGTGTACTCTGCCAGTAGGAAAAAGAGCAGTGGGAGAGGAGAGGTAAAGACACTATCTATCTATCTATCTAAAAACATACACAGTCAGATCATATATGGCATGAGGTGGTCCCGGGTTTTTTGCATAGGAAATGCCAACTGTGGTAACACACAGCCAAAATATAAGGTCAGTTTGGGTGTCTAAATTAAACACAGAGATTTTTGCAACGCCAGGCAGAGGAGGCAGACAGACCGGAGCTAAGGAATATGTTCAGTTCAGTCCTTTCTCTGTAAGGCCTTCTCTCTTCTGTGTTCAAAAAAACAATTAAAAAATACGGAGAAATGCAGTCACATGAGAAATTCTTCTTAAAATCTCAATTATTTAGATTATTTAGATTACCTTAGATTATTTAGATTATGGTAGTATTGTTTTTTCATGTCCCCTGTTTGAATCTGCTAATCCCAAGGACCTGGGTGTCCAACAGGAAAGGCCAATTTCATGGCTGGGGCTTAGCCACTTTCACTCCCTATTTTCGCTCAGAAGCACACAGTGCTACACTTGGTTTCACTGCCTAAGGAAACAAGATTTTTTCATTATTTTTAAAGGTTTATTTAATCTGAGCATTTCTTATAAGATAACATTATTAATATCTTTTATTATTTAGCATAACTTTATATGGTGATATTTAAGCTGTTCTGGAAGTGCCCTTTTAAAAACACACGTTTCTTTGCCTCAGACTGCTACAGCCACTGCAGATCCCATCTTCCTCGCACCAGCGTGCTGTTGAAATTCCACAGATTGAAACCTGCCGAGTGCACGGTGCTGTCAGCGTGTCCTTAGCCAGCTGACAGACCTGACGGCAGGTCTCACGGCGTCTGATGATGAAAAGTGTGAGAGCAGACTAGAGAGATGAGACGTGAAAGAAACATAATGAGAATCTTTCTTTCTTCTTCCCTCTCCCCTCCCTTTTTTCCCTGCTTTTGTTTTGGCTAGATAATATCCTTTTTTCCTTTGTTTTAAACACTGAGTGACAGAGCTGCATTGCCATTGCAACAAGCCACCCCATCTCTAAAGCAGAGCAACGTGCCTGTACCTGGTTCCCTTTGCACACAAGGTCTTTCTTCGTTCCCCTGTGCCTCATAATCTAATTACAACGTCTGCTTTAGCTCCCTGCTGCTGTTCTGACTTCAGAAATAAGGTTGCAGCTTATTCTAAAATCTTTCCGTTCCCCCCTGCTCCTCCCTCCCCACCCCGCAACCATTCCAAAAGAAGAGGAAAGCTGCTCCTGGCGTTCAATCAGATTCTGTAATTTTTTTAGTCCAATAATAAATTCTTGTATCAAAATAATCTTAGTGCTCAGCACTTATAGAACTTTATTTTTTTTTGCCCATAGATCTCAACGTGCTTCACAAAGCCGTTTTTTCCAGATGGGAAAGTGAAGCACAAAGAGGTGAAGTGACTTTGCTCAAGGTCCCAGAGAAAAACAATAGCAGAGCCAGGAATTAGACTCCAGCCTTCTCATTCCCAGAACAGCAGTCCATCAACTTGACCATGTTGGGACTTGTTAACCTATGCCTATTACTCTTTTTTAATGAAGCCATTTATCTGTGAACTGTATCTGATTCAGATTCCAGAGCAAACTGATTACACATGTCTAATTATCTTATTAGAACCGACACTCAGTTTGATACTTCTCACTATACATCACTGAAAGTAGCTGTTTCTGTGGTGTGTAGGGATGGAGGGTCTCACTCCTACTCAAAGAAGGACACCAAAGTTTGAGAAATAAAGAGCTATCCAACACTGAGAAGCTTTTGCAAAGCTTCCTTCAAATTCTTGGATCTCCCAGCTCAAGACAGAAATGTAATTTCCCTTGAGATTGCTAATGCCTATTAAATAAAATGGCTATTTCCATTTGGGCTGTATCTGTAAATTTCCCAAGACAAAGTGTTATCTTTAAATTATCCAAATGTTCACAGACAAAGTTGCGCTGGGGTGACTAAGGCATGTCTCCATCCCTGGAGGGATTCAGGAGTTGGTTAGATAAAGTCATGAGCCACTTAACGTAACTTCAAAGTTAGCTCTGACAGAAGGGCAAGACTCCATGACCTGCAGCGGCCCCTTTCAACATACATTTGTCTGTGATTCTATAAAATACTATGTGTATATTTATATACATTGTGTGTGTGTGCATATTTATTTTTATAGGCACAGCTTGCGTATGCAACAGGGTGAAGGAGCAGATACCCCACTTATTCACATTGAATTAAATGGGTCTATTTGCTGTGTAAGATGAGTTTAAGGTAATGCCTAGTGTTAAGATGGGAGCAGGAGATCTTGACCCTTGAGGAATTGTAGAATAAATATGCTGTCACCTAGAAATGCTGTTTGCTCACTTCTTGCCCTTGTATCAACAGAGACAATGAAAATAGCCTGCCTTTTGATTTATTGCCAATTCAATTCCTTTTCAAGTTCTCAGGTGCTGCAATTCGGGCAACATATATAGCCACAACGAGGAAATTTGTGGGTCTGGGATTTTTGAAGGGATCCTCTCCGGGATTTTCTTCACAGAAGTCACAGCGTGGATTATTCCGAAGTTCAGGAGAAGCTATTTGTTAAATAAATCTGTGCGAAGAGCGGGCTCCTGTTGGTCTTGCATAGGTAGCTCCTGGCTGCTAAACTAGAGGCGAGAGGAAGCCCGTCCGGGGGACACGAGAGGGGCCTCCTGCAGCGCTGACGTGGGGAGCCAGCGCGTGTGCCCGGCCGTGCTGCTCAGCGCCACCCCGAGTGGGAGCACCAGGCCTGAGCTGACCGCTTCCCCCTCCGGGGACTTGCTCTTATTCCCAGCTATTACCTCCAAATGGAAGAGGAGGAGGCTGCAAAGCGCACGGGAGCTGCTGAGGCGGCAACACGCCGCAGAGGCAGCCTGGAGGGCGCCGGGGCTGCTCCGGGCTCCCCCTGCAAGGCGGCCGGGGGCAGCCGGGCCCCCGCCCCT